GCTGGACGGGGCTTGGAGCAACCTGGGCTGGTGGAAGGTGTCCCTGCCCATGGCAGGGGTGGAACTGGATGGCCTTGAAGGTCCTTCCCTTCCAACCCAAACCATCCCATGATTCTTTGCTAATTTACCATTGAGAACAATTATCAAGAAACAATTTTAACTGATTAAAAAAAGCTTGCTTTGAAAATAGTTTGGGAATATCTGTTCTGGGGAAAAGCAACCAAACATGCAAAACAAAGGACATCTCCCTGAGCTTTGGGACGGGGACCAGTTCCACTGGCATCACTTAGAGCTGTGTTTGTGCCTGCAGGGCACAAACCTGGGTTTGAACCTGCAAGGCAGGTTCTGGCCTTCTCCTGGCACCCCATGCCAGGGGGGTGGTGCAGGAAGGTGCTCCATGGCAACCAACTCCTGAGGAGAAGCCCCCACGCAGGAGGAAGGAGGGCTGGGCAGAGGCAGCTTCCATCCCATCACCAGAGGAACCCAGCTGAGCACTGCCAGGCTGTCACACCTCCCAGGGGATCCCTGCCCTCCTGGACCTGCCCTCCAAAACAACCCACCCAGCCAAGACTGTTTTGTTTCCTTGCAGAATGTCACTGGAGGGGTAACGAGCCTCCTGCACCCACGGGGAGCTTCCCTGCCCTGCCAGCTCATTTCCCTCTTGAGAAACATCCCCCAGCACTGGTGATGAATATCAAGCCTTCTATTTACAGCAGAATTAATTAATTACCCGAGGCAGTTTTCAACACGACAGTCGCTTGAGGAAGCTGAAGTCAAAGGTTCTCCTGGCAGCTTCCCTGCCAGTGCTGCCATGTGGCTGAGGAAGCTCTGGGCAGCAACCAGAGCAGGGATGGGAGGGGCTGCTTTTCCCCAGACACTCCAAAGAGAAATCGAGATTTTGGGTCCCAAACTTTCAAAACCAGAGGACTTTCTTCATTTAACCTCAGTCAGAGTAACCCCTCCTCATCCTCCTTTCCTCACTGTCCCTGTGTGGGATATCTCCTGTTCCCAACAGACATGATCCATGGAGCTCTGGCAGGGCCTGGGGAGTTGCTTCAGCTCCAGGAGAGCTGGAGAGGGGCTTTGGACACAGGGAATGGAGGGGATGGAGGGGCAGGACACAGGGAATGGCTTCCCACTGCCAGAGGGCAGGGAGAGATGGGATAGTGGGAAGGAATTGTTGCCTGTGAGGGTGGGGAGGCCCTGGCACAGGTTGCCCAGAGAAGCTGCGGCTGCCCCTGGATCCCTGGAAGTGTCCAAGGCCAGGTTGGATGGGGCTTGGAGCAACCTGGGCTGGTGGAAGGTGTCCCTGCCCATGGCAGGGGGTGGCACTGGGTGGTCTACAAGGTCTTCTCCAACCCAAAGCACTCTGTGATTCTGAGAACAACCAACACACACAAGGTGACCAAAGGCAATGAGCTCCTTCACAGCCCCAAGCCCTCCAGGGCTGCTCTCCAAAGGTGTGGGAATAGAGACCGTTGCAGCACTTGAAGGTAAGAGCTGAGGAAGCCAGGCTGGGCACGGGACAGGGAAGGGAAGGGTCAGAGCAGGAAGCCCAGAAAGCAGCCCCTGTAAGCAGGGCAGAACCATCACTGCTGGACTGAGCAGACCAACAAACCAGCAGGGAGACAAAGCAGGAGTTATCCAGTGAGCTCAGAACCTCCACCCTGTGTGTGGCTAAAATACTACAGAACACTCTCCTCGTTTATTCCTTGAAGTCATTACACAGACTGAGGGGAAGCAGCACCCCCTGCACCACAGATGCTGTGCTTAGCAGTCACTCTGAGCACCCTCAGATGTGACTGTGGTTTTAGATCCATCACAAAGAGATCCAAGAGCATCACCAGGGAAAGGGCATCAGAGCTGCTCAGAAGCTCGAGGCCTCCTGCAGCCACAGGATAAACCTGCCTTGCACAGGGCCTGGATTTCACCCAGAGTGTGTGAGGCTGGATTTAAGCTGGCATTCCCCTGTCTGAGGGCAGAGCAGGCTCACAAACTCTGGAATTCGACAGAATCACCAACTAGGACCAAACCATTGAGCATTTAAAAAGAGCACTGGAGTAATTTGTGGCCTTTGTTAAAGAAGAGCAAAGAAGCCTTGGACTGCTTGAGATTGTTAAGCAGACTCCTATGAAGAGTCATAAAATGTACCTGTAAGGGATGTATGGGCAATAAGCAGGAGCAACTGGCTAAAAACCTCTTGCTAACTTCTCATTTTTCAATTTAATAAGAACAGAAATGAGGAACAAAGGGATCCAGGTCGCAGAGAAACAGCCTTTGAGTGTTACAAAGGATCTCCAGAAAAGAACCCACAGTAAATCTGTGTAAGATGATAAAGACTTTGCAGGGCTTCACTTCTGCCAGCTTTCCCTCAAACCATTGTGAACCGGTTTTTTAGACACAGAGCAAGGTCTGGATTTCACTGCTCTGGGCTCTGGAGGGAAGTCTCTCGCTGTGGGTCCTCTCTCCACCAGCCAGGACAAAGGCTGAACAGATTGCCCCGATGCTGGATCAGCTGCATCGCCACAGAAAGTGGCTGCACAGCAAGAGGTGTCACAATTTGGCCTCCCAAATCCAATTATCCAGCCCAGGCAATGCCCCCCAGCTACACACAGGGAAGTATTAATGAACAGCACGGCCTCAAATCGAGTTGTCATCACTGGGTAACCTCCCAGCTCGGCAGGGCCTCCCCAGGAGCCACCACCAGCACCTCCTGAAGGTGAGGAGACAGTCAAAGGTGAGAACAAACTTCTCCCAGGGAATGGGGGACAAATATTTCCCTGATTAATTGTTTTTCTGCCTTGGTGGTTCTCTGAATGAGCCAGGGCTCATTTCTGCTTCAAGCAGCCCCTCAGTAACTCTGAGCTGCCCGATGGTCCCACAGACACTTCCAGGAACACAGACTGTCCAATCCTATGGACAACAGGAGGCATCAAAGCAGCAAGGTCCTTGTTGTGCAGGCACTTTGTGCACTCTGAGTTGTGCAGTTGTGAGCAGAGGGGCACAGACAAGACAGAGGGGGATCACAGAATCATGGAATCATAGAATGGTTGGGCTGGAAGGGACCTTAAAGCCCATCCAGTGCCACCCCCTGCCATGGGCAGGGACACCTCCCACTATCCCAGGTTGCTCCAACTTGGCCTTGGACACTTCCAGGGCTGGGGCAGCCACAGCTTCTCTGGGCAACCTGTGCCCCAAACCCAATGGAATGACCTGCACATCCAGGGTTTTACTTCCCTTTGCACCCAGGATAATGTCCAGGGGACTTTCACACACAGTTCAGAAGGGATTTAGCAGCTCCCCTGCATCAACCCTTCTAAGGCCTGATCAACTCTCAGCTTCCACTTCAACCCAGCCACTCCCCACCTGGTGGTTTCAGTAGTTTTTAGCAAATCTTGCAGGGTCTGGGCAAACCAGGCTGGGCCAGCAGAACCCTCATCCCTCCCACAGGCAGGAAGAAGTCGATATTCCCCTTCCCCCCCCTCCTGTGGCTTTCCCTGCTGGTTACCCCGGCTTCCCATGGGAATGAGGCTAAAGATGTCCTTGTCTGACCTCCTGAGGTTGCCCTGACAGCTCCTGAATCCCGAGCCAGCTCCCAGCAAACCTGACAGAGGGGCAGCAGACTCCGAGAGCCGAGTCCAGGGATCTTTCAGGAAAAATCAGCCGCGGGGCAGAACGAGCCTCAAATCAGAGTGACACTGCTGGAACGGCTTCAGCACGAGCTCCAGAGCCATCTGCCTCCTCACAGCTCCCAGTCCCAGCCAGGCACAGCAGGGACAGGACACCAGAGGGATCTGGCAGCATTCCAGGGGGCTGAGGAGGTGGAGATGCGAGCAGGGCACGAGGGAGGGAGTGGGGGAATGGGATGGATCCCCAAAAATCCTGTTTGATGACAGTTTTCAAAGTCATCCAGCCAGGGGCAGACTCCAAAGCAATGGACTCTGTCACTGATTAGCACAGAGCCCTGTGACCAAGCAGGAACAAGGACTGGATTGTCCCCACAAGGGGAGTTGTCCCCACAAGGACACCAGGCAGGGCAGGTGGAGGAAAGGAATAACCAGCACAAGGTGTTGGCTGCACAATGTGCAGGCAGGGAAGGGGCCCACGAGCAAATGATGCACTCAAGAGCAGAGACAGAACTATGGTTATATTGGAAACGGAAAGAAAAGGAGCTTTTAGGCTTAAAAAAATAAAATAACCCCCTATGATAAAACAAAACCAACAAAGCAAACAAACATTTCCCCCATCCAGCCCCACCCACGGTCTCTTCTCATCTCTTTCAATACCTTTGCCTTCTCTGTGTTTCATCCTCCTGAAGGTCAGGGGAAGAAAAATTAAGAGGGCAAGAGCAATTAGGAATAAAGGACCAGGAGAAGGGATAGAGAGAAAGGAGAAGGTTGGAAAAATTAAGTCTGAACACCATAAATTCAGCTGAAAATGCTGAACATTACAAAGAGTATTTATTTCTACAGCTGCTTCTACTAAGAGAGTTCCTTGCTGTTCCTGCTTCCCTCTCAAGAGGTGATCCAAGAGGTGATCCCAGTGGTGATCCCAGAGGTGATCCCAGTGGTGATCCCACTCCTCCCAGTGCAGCAGAACTGAGACTTGCACAGACAGAACCAAACCATTCACCCAAACCAGGAGTCACATCCCAGCTTA